ATTCACAGTCCTTCGTTTCCTTCAGCAGGTTTATACACCGTGTATGAGACATGCCATGAGTGTTACCAAGCAAAAACTAGGCTGTCCAACTCGTTCACAGTCACCACTAAAAGTGACGAATCATTCCGCACAATAATTATGCTCCAACAAATATATCCACGAATCGTTTACAAGATAACAATACTGATTTTGTTGAAACAAAATGTTTCATCGAAACTTCAACAGCATAATTGTGTCTTATACTACGAACCTGAAACGAGAAGCTGCACTGTAAATCTGACAGAGTAAAGTATTGTAAACGGTTTGTCGATTCATGACTGAGAGCATCAAACAACGCAGATGCTAACATGTTACTGTCACTGCGTTTCTCTACGCACGTCGTAGCACTATCACGACATAACTGATAAATGCATATCGGTTATGCCTTGATGATGCTATGGCGAGCATAGCGAAACGCACTGGCAACTACATGGCAACATCGGCATTGTTTAGTGCCCTCAACCACGAATCGACAATTTTAGCAACGGGCTCATAATCGTAAATGTTACATTAATGAAGCGACGCGTTAATAAAACCTTTTTTCATTTGTAAAAACTATTTTGACTTACCTTGAGAACTAGGTTCTGGGAGACTCTTTCGGGCCACCAGATGCATCACAGTTGTTTTACCGACAGGTAGACTTAAAGCTAAAAGAAACACAACTAGAAAATAATATCAGATCGTGATCGAAAATGTAATAAAAATGAAATATACATAAATGAACAGCGGACAAAAACAACAAACAACGAACCAATTTACAGTCCTCTGAAATGAGGATGATATTCACAGGTATTTTGTGTTATCTGAAATATGCGTTCCTCTACCTAAAATCTGCTAATAAATGCCAAGCATAACCAGAGTTTCATCACGCTACAATACGACCACCTGAACTCAGATGTCGAGAAGAGTAATGAAGCATGCCATTGCTTCATGATACTCTAGCAGCGGCAGAGTACTGAGGCAGGTTGCTAAATTTTTAATGGCTATAGCATTCAAATAACTTGACCAACGGTCAGGAGCACGGTATTTGTTTTGCTGTGCCCGCCGCAGCTGCTTAAACACCAAGAGATGAACTGCTCAAATAACCCGATATACGTCTGAGAGAGG